CAAGATCTCAATCCAATTGAGCATCTGTGGGATGTGATGGACCAACTGTCACAGTGTCTGGTTGTGTTTTCACTGGGTGTCCACTAGAGGTCCCTTCCTTACTGTATCCATTCACTCTAGAACCACATTCCCATAATCCTTGTTTGTTCCCATCACTTGTGATAGCACCCAGCTGTTCCAATTTTTGTTATTATTGTCTGTGCATAAATACCCTCATCCATGCCAGTGTCGAAATCCATTTTAATCAGTCCAAATGATGATATTACAAAACAAGCAAGAACAGACTAGAAACAAACCTCAGAGTTGCAGCGTGACAAACAATATAATGACTCTGTGACATGAACTAACAAACCCAGGGTATTTATGCACAGACACTAACAACATAAATGGAAAGAGCTGTGTGCAATCACAAGTGATGGGAACAAACAAGGATTATGGGAAATGTGGTTCTAGAGTCAATGGATACAGGAAGGATGGGACCTCTATTGGACACCCAGTGAAAATACAACCAGACACTGTCACACCAACAAGTCTGATCCACAGAGGCTCCACCTTGCAAATCTACAGGACTTAGGTTGGAGAGGTTGATCCTGAAGTACCTTTGCCCCTTAGTAAAGCTATCATTGGACCCCCTACAATTTGCCAATCGGATGTGTGTCTGATACAATCGTGAGCAGTACAGGGACTCCACTGGGGAAGCTGCTCCCCTTAAATTACTAAAGGGAATGTTCCTCTTGAACAACCTACTGTATGGATAAATACCTTGCTTAAGGTCACACTGGCAATAATGGAGCTTCTGATCAGTTTTCCAGCTCAGACCTTTAATCTCTACTGTCCTGAAAAGTGTATATGATTGTAATAAAGTAACATAACTTTTTGGAAAGCGTCCCAAGTTTTATTACTCAAATCCATTAGTGCCGACAGGTTCATGCTGAGTCACTTTGAAATATCATCGTGACTCTTTGAAAGGTCCTCTTATAAAAAATAAGACAGACCAGTGCGATATGGGGTGTGGCGTCCACTCTGAAAACCATATAAAAAGCCTGATAGAGAGGCAGGTTGGGTGATAAACCAGACTGATCATCTTTGAACATGGCTTCATTAAAGGCGAGTAGCGTTCTTGTGACCGGGGCCAACCGAGGCTTGGGTCTAGAAATGGTCAAGCAACTCCTGGAGGCCCGTTGCTCCCATATTTTTGCTGCATGTCGTGACCCAGATGGGACCAAATCTGAGGTGAGAATTCAAGAGCTAAAGACAGAAGACATTAGACATGTGCATTTTATCATTCAAATTTTCTTTCTGATTCAGTCACTGAGAGAACTGGCCAAAAAGAATCCAGGTGTCGTCACCATTGTGAAGCTTGGTAAATGTGCATTTGTCTTTTAGACTACATTTTACATTAAATTAATAGTTGTTTTTGAGGTAACTGATCATTTTTCTGCCACTGTTAGATGTCGCTGATCCATGCAGTATCAAAGAATCTGCCAAAAAAGTGGGTTCTCTACTGGGCAAGAATGGTTTGAACCTGATCATAAATAACGCTGCAGTTTTGCCTTCAAAATCCATGTGGACCACCAATGTTGAGGACATGCACCAAGCCTTCAACACCAACGTGCTGGGACCTTTATTTGTCATAAGGGTAATGGAAAGAGTTTTTGGGAAGAAGACTAATCTAAGACAAGACTTGATTTCTTGCAATATCTAAAACACTTGAATGTCTTAATTCAGGAGTACCTGCCGTATCTGCGTGCAGCAGCTAAAGCCAGTGGCAAACCCGGGATGTCATGTGATAAAGCAGCTGTTATCAACATCTCCACAGATGCATCATCTATGGTGATCATGCAATCACTGCCAGAGCCATTCCCGCTCTTCCCATACAGTGTCAGCAAGGTACACAAGAAGGGTCTTTTGAGACAGACGGGCAAATGTGGTTTGAAACTCGATTGAAATATACAGTATATTTGGAAATGTTTTCATCTGAATGGTCAGATTGGATTTCAAATAGTTTTTTTTTTCTCTTTGTCCATTCAAGACACTACATATGTAATAATAATAGTGTAATAATGAGTGAAGAAGATTATGCAAATGAGCCATGTGGAAATTCATCTATTCATTGACTACTATTCTGCCTGAACACACATTCTTAACAAACACTGTCTCAACTTATTTGAAACTGAAAAACAATTTAGAAGTGGTTGCAGTGTTAACAAACTTTGTCATGTGTCTGTTTTCCTTTCAGGCAGGTCTAAACATGTTGACTGTGTATACTGCCAGGGACTTAAAGGCAGATGAGATCCTCTGCATTTCCATTCACCCAGGATACGTGAAGACAGACATGGGGGGAGATGAGGTAAATCTAGTAAAGGTGACTTGGTATAATGAGGTGAATTTAATTTAACTATATTCTATTTAAAAATCATGTTCATCTGAAATTAAAACTTGGTAGATTAAACATTTCCCCATGCAGTTTTTTTTTTCATAATTGTGACTGTAGTGTTCGAACACTGTAGAAATAAATGTTTGTCTCTTATAAGTACATTCTAAGAGTGTCAAGTTGAAATTTTGTTCATAATCGTCTCTCAAAAGAAAATTAAAATCAACATGATGCATCAATGTTTCTATTCATCATTAAGGTTTAGGATTCTGGAGTCTCAGATACCAAAAATGAGGCCCAAAAGCACACAGGTGGTTTCTGTTTGACAACATTACACTATTTTAATTGCACGTTATTCTCTGTTTGTCCACCAGGCACATATCGACACCAGAACAAGTGTGGAGGGGATGATACGCGTCTTTGGCAGCCTTACTGAGAAGCAGCATGGTGGATTCATGGACTACACTGGAGAAACTATGCCCTGGTAAAACAGAAGCACAAACCAGTTTTCCATAAGGAGGGTCAACAAGGGCTAATCTAGATGCCATTTATTACCCATCATATAAAAGTTAGAAACACAGTCATTAACTTTTATGACAGACAACATGGCAACTTGATTGTGTTCAATACAATAAAACTAACTAAACAAACAATACTGCAATATTGTCATTTTTCTGAATTATTTGTGCATTCACTATTTTAATAAGAAAAAAATAAACACTTAAAACACCACCTATGGTATCTAACTCAAAAATAATTGCTTTCTATAGCAGATCAATCTTTATTCATTAACACATTTATTATGTATAACAGTCAAAGAACTTTCGATGTGAAGCCAAAAAAATCTGCATCTAGTTTATAATCTCGTGTGTATGATAAATAAAACAAACAACAAATACATTTGTCTTAAAGTTGGAACATAGTGCAGACCAAGGTGCAGCCATTAAGTTGCCCCAACAGGGCATTTTGTATCAAAAATCTAAAAAAAAAAAAAAAAAAGGTTAATGAAAAAAATATGAAAATAAATCAATCAAAATAAATAGAATGAAGAAAAAATACTTCTATACAAAAAGACAAAATAACATACAACAAAAATAACAGTGGATGCAGACAATTTTTTTCAAAAGACATTCGGAATATGTGTCCTTCCCGCTCCCCTTTTTCGATCTCTCTTCTCCCTCTGCTCCTCTCTCTCCTGGGTAGAGTCCTAGTGGTTTGCATTGAATTCCTTGAAGCACTCATGCAAGGCAACACCGTTTTCCTCACATGCAAAGGAAGTGCATCCATCACATTTTCGACACCTCATGTACTTTCTCCCTGTGTTGTGGGCCCAGTGGATCAAGTTGTCAAATCTGGCAGCCTCACATATTGCAGAAACCAACACTGACCTTCTTCCATGCCCCAGTGGCCTCATCCCATGGCGCTGGAGGAGACTCTGGGCAAACAGCCTTTGGAAGGAGAGGAGATCTTTGTCTCTCTCTTTACATGACCTCTATGAATGAATGGATGGATGAATGAATTTTCAGTTGGTGGGCATTGAATGAAATTAATACTTAATGTATACTTGTTTTGTTTTTGTGTCATGCCACTTAAGATATAGACCCCATCCTTCCACCCTGCCAGGTTGGATGAGCGACAGGTTGTTGGGCACCTAAGGCTCATTGATGCATGAGGTCAACGCTGTCCAGTCTGGTCCAAGCCAACAGAAGGTCTACTGTGGCATAAGTCCCACAACATTTTAATGACGCTTTTGGGAGGAATGTGTCCTCACAACACACAGTGCATCACACTCTGCTGCGAATGGGGCTGAAGGCCAATCAGAGTGCCTGTGATAACCCGTCCATCGTCGAAAGCTCATCGGACGGCGACAAGCCAGTGGAGGGAGTGTGATTCTCTGGGCAATTTTCTGCTCGGAAACCCTAGTCAGGCCATTCATGTGGACATAAATTTGACACATGCTACCTACCTGAACATTGTTGCAGACCAGGTACATCCAATTTTAAAACAATGGTGTTTCCTGGTGGAAGTGGCCTCTTTCAGTAGAAGAATGCTCCCTGCCACACTGCACACATTGTTAAGGAATGGTTTGAGGAACATGATGAAGAGTTCAAGGTGTTGCTCTGGCCTCCAAATTACCAAGATCTCAATCCAATTGAGCATCTGTGGGATATGATGGACCAACTAGTGGACACCCAGTGAAAATACAACCAGACACTGTCACACCAACAAGTTCGATCCACAGAGACTCCACCTTGCAAATCTACAGGACTTAGGTTGGAGAGGTTGATCCTGAAGTACCTTTGCCCCTTAGTAAAGCTATCATTGGACCTCCTACAATTTGCCAATCGGATGTGTGTCTGACACAATCGTGAGCAGTACAGGGACTCCACTGGGGACGCTGCGCCACTTAAATTACTAAAGGGAATGTTCCTCTTGAACAACCTATGGATAAATACCTTGCTTAAGGTCACACTGGCAATAATGGAGCTTCTGATCAGTTTTCCAGCTCAGACCTTTAATCTCTACTGTCCTGAAAAGTGTATATGATTGTAATAAAGTAACATAAATTTTTGGAAAGCGTCCCAAGTTTTATTACTCAAATCCATTAGTGCCGACAGGTTCATGCTGAGTCACTTTGAAATATCATCGTGACTCTTTGAAAGGTCCTCTTATAAAAAATAAGACAGACCAGTGCGATATGGGGTGTGGCGTCCACTCTGCAAGCCATATAAAAAGCCTGATAGAGAGGCAGGTTGGGTGATAAACCAGACTGATCATCTTTGAACATGGCTTCATTAAAGGCGAGTAGCGTTCTTGTGACCGGGGCCAACCGAGGCTTGGGTCTAGAAATGGTCAAGCAACTCCTGGAGGCCCGTTGCTCCCATATTTTTGCTGCATGTCGTGACCCAGATGGGACCAAATCTGAGGTGAGAATTCAAGAGCTAAAGACAGAAGACATTAGACATGTGCATTTTATCATTCAAATTTTCTTTCTGATTCAGTCACTGAGAGATCTGGCCAAAAAGAATCCAGGTGTCGTCACCATTGTGAAGCTTGGTAAATGTGCATTTGTCTTTTAGACTACATTTTACATTAAATTAATAGTTGTTTTTGAGGTAACTGATCATTTTTCTGCCACTGTTAGATGTCGCTGATCCATGCAGTATCAAAGAATCTGCCAAGAAAGTGGGTTCTCTACTGGGCAAGAATGGTTTGAACCTGATCATAAATAACGCTGCAGTTTTGCCTTCAAAATCCATGTGGACCACCAATGTTGAGGACATGCACCAAGCCTTTAACACCAACGTGCTGGGACCTTTATTTGTCATTAGGGTAATGGAAAGAGTTTTTGGGAAGAAGACTAATCTAAGACAAAACTTGATTTCTTGCAATATCTAAAACACTTGAATGTCTTAATTCAGGAGTACCTGCCGTATCTGCGTGCAGCAGCTAAAGCCAGTGGCAAACCCGGGATGTCATGTGATAAAGCAGCTGTTATCAACATCTCCACAGATTCATCATCTTTGAGCCTCACACCATCACAGCCAGAGCCATTCCCGCTCTTCCCATACAGTGTCAGCAAGGTACACAAAAAGGGTATTTTGTGACAGGCGGACAAATGTGGTTTGAAACTCGATTGAAATATACAGTATATTTGGAAATGTTTTCATCTGAATGGTCAGATTGGATTTCAAATAGTTTTTTTTTTCTCTTTGTCCATTCAAGACACTACATATGTAATAATAATAGTGTAATAATGAGTGAAGAAGGTTATGCAAATGAGCCATGTGGAAATTCATCTATTCATTGACTACTATTCTGCCTGAACACACATTCTTAACAAACACTGTCTCAACTTATTTGAAACTGAAAAACAATTTAGAAGTGGTTGCAGTGTTAACAAACTTTGTCATGTGTCTGTTTTCCTTTCAGGCAGGTCTAAACATGTTGACTGTGTATACTGCCAGGGACTTAAAGGCAGATGAGATCCTCTGCATTTCCATTCACCCAGGATACGTGAAGACAGACATGGGGGGAGATGAGGTAAATCTAGTAATAAATGTGACTTGGTGTAATGGGATGAATTTAAAAACTAATATTCTATTTAAATTTTACTTGTTTCTCTGAAATTAAAACCTAGTTGGTAGATTAAATATTTCCCCATGCAGGTTTTTTTTTTCATAATTGTGACTGTAATGTTCACACTGTAGAAATAAATGTTTGTCTCTTATAAGTACATTCTAAGAGTGTCAAGTTGAACTTTTGTTCATAATCGTCTCTCAAAAGAAAATTAAAATCAACATGATGCATTAATGTTTCTATTCATCATTAAGGTTTAGGATTCTGGAGTCTCAGATACCAAAAGCACACAGGTGGTTTCTGTTTGACAACATTACACTATTTTAATTGAATGTTATTCTCTGTTTGTCCACCAGGCACATATCGACACCAGAACAAGTGTGGAGGGGATGATGCGTGTCTTTGGCAGCCTTACTGAGAAGCAGCATGGTGGATTCATGGACTACACTGGAGAAACTATGCCCTGGTAAAACAGAAACACAAACCAGTCTTCCATAAGGAAGGTCAACAAGGGCTAATCTAGATGTCCTGTATTACCCATCATATAAAAGTTAGAAGCACAGTCATTAACTTTTATGACAGACAACATGGCAACTTGATTGTGTTCAATACAATAAAACCGACTAAACAAACAAACAATACTGCAATATTGTTTTGAACTCTTTGCGCATTCATTCACCATTTCAATAAGAAAAAGAAGAATAAGAAAAACACTGACAACACCACATATGGTAAATGGACTGCATTTATATAGTGCTTTCACAGACTGCCTCATATTTACCCATTCACTCACTCTTTCATACACTGACGGCGGTGTCAGCCATGACAGGCCGCCATCCAGCTCGTCGGGAGCAGCTGGGGTTAGGTGTCTTGCTTATGGACTTGGTCAGGTGCAACCAGGGATTGACCTACCAATTTTCTGGTTTGTAGACAACCTACATGAACCACCGAGCCACTGCCGCCCCATATGGTATCTAACTCAAAATAATTGCTTTCTACAGATCAATCTTTATTCATTAACACATTTATTATGTATAACAGTCAAAGAACATTCGATGCGAACCCAAAAAATCTGCATCTAGCTAATAATCTCTTGTGTATGATAAATAAAACAAACAACAAATACATTTGTCTTAAAGGTGGAACATAGTGCAGAACAAAGTGCAGCCATTAAGTTGCCCCAACAGGGACAAAAAAAAGTTAATGCAAAAATTATGAAAATAAATCAATCAAAATAAATAGAATGAAGAAAAAAATACTCCTATACGTGTAAGAGCCAAATGTTACTTGTTTGTTATGTAATTCTAGATTTTAATTTCTGTGTCTGACACAGAAATGGCGCATGTCTGTAAGTTCGCCACAGGTATAAAGGTAGAAGACATAACATTGTTGGGAGGTGTTTGACCCAGAAGGGCAAAGGTTTTTTGACCGCTTGCGCGGTGCTTTGTAATGCAGATGGAAATACCAAAAATAAAATGGACCACTATGGATTTCAACTACCATATTATCTACGAGAGTTTGTTTAGCACAGGGCAATCAAGTGAGCGTAGCATTATAACACCGAGCGTGTCAACCAGGCTATCCCGGGTCCAGGCACCTTAGTAGTTCGGTGTCAAAACGAACTCCTAACATTACGTATAACAAAAATGTGTCCTCCCCGCTCCCCTTTTTCGATCTCTCTTCTCCCTCTGCTCCTCTCTCTCCTGGGTAGAGTCCTAGTGGTTTGCATTGAATTCCTTGAAGCACTCATAAGGCAATACTGTTTTCCTCACATGCAAAGAAAGTGCATCCATCACATTTTCGACACCTCATGCACTTTCTCCCTGTGTTGTTGGCCCAGTGGATCAAGTTGTCAAATCTGGCAGCCATCACAAATTGCAGAAACCAACACTGACCTTCTTCCATGCCCCAGTGGCCTCATCCCATGGGGACGGAGGAGACTCTGGGCAACCAGACTTTGGAAGGAGAGGAGATCTCTGTCTCTCTCTTTACATGACCTCTATGAATGAATGGATGGATGAATGAATTTTCAGTTGGTGGGTTTTGAAAATAAATACTTAATGAATACTTGTTTTGTTTTTGTGTTATGCCATAGACATATACACTAGACCTCACCTTGGCTACGGCAGTTCATTGGAACGAATGCGTCAACAGAGCCGCCATCTTGAAACAGGGGAGCCCCTCCACTTTAATGCATCAGCGTCAATGTAGTAGACACAGGTCTAACGGAAATAAAATCACCATAAATCATCATGAATGCGATTTTTCTTTTTTTTTCTTTTTTTTGGTTTGTTCCAACGGTCAGACATGTATTTATCATTGATTCCAGAAATAATTTTTTTTTTTTAAACATTCTTCCTAGTTCAGATTTCATCCGTGAACATCATACGCTGCACAAAAGTCCGCCACTATCAATGAATTCGAAGTAAAGGCAGAGATAGCAGCGTTACCTAGCTACTTCCTATGACAAGACCCCTGTTCCAAGATGGCGGCGGTTTTAACGCATGCTTAGAACCCCAAGGTGAGGTCTAGTGTATATGTCTATGGTGTAATGCCACTTAAGATATAGACCCCATCCTTCCACCCTACAGCCTCACCTCCCACTTCCCATTACACCCCGTACCTGTAATAACACCAAGCGGTGACCATAGCACTGCTGAGTGCCCAGCTGTAGCATGGCAACCACCACTTCTTTGATCGGATGCCAATCCGGTAACGGTTCACACATTGGTCGTCCAGGTCAACACCTCCGATATGTGTGTTGTAGCTTTTTATACAAGGCTGTTTCACTTTACCCATAGCATGCTTCTGTTTGTTCCATCACTGAGTGTCGACATCGGAGTAATCACTCTCCATATTGGTCACAACACAACATTCCAACAATCAGTTTTCCATCTTCAATAAGGAATTCGGATTTACCTCTTGAGGTCTTCCGAGAGCTCTTGGATGGTGTCAGTGGGATATCAAACAGTCGATTTTCCCGAAGTGTGCCACAGCTGCCATAGCCCCTTTTGATCATCTCATCAACCTGGGTGAGTGTTGTGAATAGGTTGTCATGATAGAACTTGCATCCAGTTGGCACTCCAGCTTTCTCTACCAAGCCAAGAACCACACTTGGACCCTGACCCAGTCCAGTTTCAATGAGACGAGCGTGGCTACCTGCGTATGGCTCCAACTGGTAGACAAATCCAGATGAGGATGCAAGACTGCAGATCTTGAAACCAAAACAAATGGACTTCCCCCTGATAAATATCTTGCATCCAAGCCTACCAAAGAACTCAATCATCATCTCATTCACTGCCAGCTATTCCTGAATAGTCGTGGTTTTGTTGACTTTATTCAGCTCCACAAACACGAAACGCACCTTGAAGAAAGGGTCATCTGTGATTTTCATGTTATCCACAACATGAATGGAAGCCATTATCTCATCAAACAACATGACATCATGACTTTTGCGTAAACATATACGGCACTTTCGAGTCAGGTGGCGTGTTATCTCTACGCATTTTGTGCTATCCGCGTGTGTCCGCGTGTATGCGTATATGTCTACGCCATTAACATCCGCGTCATTCCGCGTGTCTGTACACGCAGTCAAATCTCCAATCATAAATGCCATTAACCCCAGTGACGGTTAAGTTTAGGGATGGGATTGAGGTAAGTCATATCTTTTTTTTACCTAGGATGGTAAGGGAACAGTCATAAATGCCATTAACCCCAGTGACGGTTAGGTTTAGGGACGGGGTTGAGGTAAGTCATATATTTATATAACGTTAAGTCAACGGCGTTCATAAACACGCTGAAAGGCGATTATGCGTCTTGATAGCACGCCAAAAAATGGAAATACGAATTGGCGTGTCATACACACGCTACTTCATGAGATCAGTCTGCATCAAATCTGTTCCTCTGCTTGGCATCTTTAATGCTTTTGTTGTTGACATCATTGTTGTCTCACCAAAGAAGACGTCGTCTTGGGACTGAGTTGGTCAAAGGAATGCCAAAGAATGTTTGGAGCTCTTCATCAGTGAGATTGAGGGTGGCACCTTTGTGCTGCATATATATTTGACATATCCAGGGTGATATCCCGTAGTGATTTGGGATAGAAAGAAAGATGTCTGCTGCATCATTTGATGTGATGATGGGATTGGTTGGCTTGGTGAGTTGATGATGCTTAGCCTGTATTACTTTTTTGGTATCTGCTTTAAATGTCTTGAACTTCCGCTCTTTGTTTTTCATTTTCTTAAGCATGGGTCCATAGGCTGTTGGATTATTCCTTTTCCTCAACAGCATTGATGCTGTTTGGCTCTGTACACTCACTAATATCATAAAAGGGAGAAAAAGATAATCTACAGCAATTAATCCCATGCTTTAACTCTCATTCTTTCATTTCATTCTCAACTGTTTTTATCTTTCATCCTTCCATTTGTGTGACTGACTGAAGTTTGGAAACTGCTGCTGTCAATTGAAAACTGGAAAGCCCATCCCCCCATAGCAACAGCATGTCAACCAACCAAAAATACTTTTTTGTACTTTTTGAGGGTTTGCCTTCACCATGTTTCTTGGAAGAAGACATAAGTAGTTGACAGCCTCATGTGACAGGACGGAAATAAATACCTTGTTTGTCCTTTATTTGATTGTTTGCTTGCATGCATTGAGAAATACAACGGATATCTAAAAAATTCTTAAAAAAGGAAAATGACATCTATACACTGCAGCAACTAGTTGACGATGGGCTTAAATTTGTTAAAAGCTTGAAATTTGTTTTGCAGGTGAGGAAATGTATTTTAATTTTTTACTCTGTTTTGCTTTTATTTGAAGATTTGTTTTGGAATTGTGTGACTATCTGGGCGAAAAACTTAAGGAGAAAAACAAGTGATGTGTTTTGGCTAAACATTATCCACTGAGTTAAGATAAAGAACTTCAAGGCTAGCCGTTGGGTCGACACTGATAATGGGAACTTCAGTTCTGAGAAAAAGTTATTGTTAGGCCTACTATATAAAGAGTAGGCAAACTTATCTGTGCTCAATCTCTCCAAGGAGTGGTAAAGAGCTCTGGCCATTGAATAAATGCTAGTGAGAGAACCGAGTCTGTCTTTAAAGCTAGGGTATATGCTTTCAAAGATTGTTTACTATTACTGTAATTTCGTGTTGATGCTGGTTATGGTTATATAGTACAACCCTAACAATATGAATAGAAAAAAAGAATGAAAAAATCCATTCACTCTATTGGCTGTACAGCCGCAGAGAAGTTGACCAATGTAGGCTGTCCGGCCAGACAGCTTACATTGGTCAACTGCTCTCATCCAATCACCATCTCCACTTGAAACTCTGCCTGGCGCTCGGGTCAGCAACCCAATCGCACCCGACCCCGCCCCCCTCTTTACGCGAGAAAGCAGCAGCTGACAGTCTATACAGCTGGTAAGTCCCGCCCATCCGTACTAGGTTGAAAAAGCGTCAATGCAAGTGAATGAGAGAAAATAATTATTTTCTGATCCCGTTTGAATTGTGCCATGAATGTGAACATATGTTGTCTGTGAATTTTTTTTATATAATTTCTCATGTAACGAGTTTGAAGTGGACCAAAGACACAGGGATGTTTAGCGGGATCTGTGTGCTAGTGGTGGTGACATATATCAAACACGTCGAAAGCAGCGAAGAATTGTAGTCTACAAAGTGTCGAATTGCTTTGTTCCTTTTTTGGATAAAAGCGTCTTCTACATGTAGCCTAATAAATGTTATAATAGGCTAATGATGATGATTATTATTATTATTTGCGCACACGGACCTAAAACACACTCCGTCTTCTAAGTCAGGCGACTGTAAATGCGCAAAATCCTTTTACATTGCAGTTTTGCGAAATTTTCATTTCGCAATTTCAATTTGCGCAAATTGAAGAGTAATGGAAACGCAGCTAGTTATATACTGCAAACGCAGCATGTGAAAGCACTTTTTAGCGCGTACTGCTCCTGTAACGGATACGCACCGCAACACTCACTGCACACGGAGTATGTGTGAAACAGGCGTCAGGCTTTCTCGACCGATTTTTAACATCGTATACTATAGCTTTAATGCTGAAATATTCAAGGGTAGAGTGTGCTGGTCCTTGTTCACTCTTTCATCTGCGTGGTGTATTGATTTGTGTGCCGAATTTCGACCACAGCCAAATTATTTCCCTCCTAGTATTGGTAGGTTTAGTATTAGTTGTGGGGTGGGGTTAGGATCAGGCAATCGGGTACTGACTTTGACGGGGTGATAATTTAGCACGGGGTCGAAATTCGACACAACACCGGCACTTCGGTCTAGTTTGGTTTTGGTTCTGTGTCAGGGTTCGGACACTCATAAATGTCTCTGTTTTCTGTTGTGAGTTTGCAGTTTTCGAGCTCGCTTGGACCGTACACTCTTCTATCCACGTGTTGTTTTCGGGTCATGTTTCTATCGGCTGCGTTCTTCTTGTCTTTGTGGACACTCAGTCAATGGCTGGTGTTTGCTGACCATGTGCTTTTGTTTTTGTTATGTTTGTTGTAAGCACATGGCTCATGTATATGTTTCCTTGTATCATGCTGCTGTCATTAACTGTCTATTGTCTAACCTTGCCCTTCTTGTTATCTGATTATTGGTTCATTTGCCCCACCTCTCCTCCCTCGTTTCCTGCTTATTTGCTCTTGTACTTACATATAGGCTTCCCAATAGTGTCTAGCCCTGCCCAGTCGCCATTGTGTGTTTTTAAATTACAAATAAAAACCTAGTCCTCATCTCCCTTCACCCAACCCTGACACCTTTTTTCATTACAAAGAACCTTTTGTGCAATGGAAAGATTCCATGGATGTTTCAGATTCTACATGGAACCATCAATTCCAATAAAGAACCTTTGTTTTTATGAGTGTAGTTAAGAGATTATATTACATGGAAAAATTCGTCTCAACACGTATTTACTGGACAGCTCTGACGCAGAAGAAAATTACATCTGTTCTGAATCTTTATTCATATAGCACTGTGTAAATACAACTGAAGTTGACAAAAGTGCTTTACAAAGTAGACACAAAAGATAATACATCAGCGTAGTAATAATACATTTTAAAGCAAGCAACACAATCATAAGATACAAACCATTTTTAAAATGCCAAAGAGAGAAGGTACGTTTCTAACTTGGACTTAAAAATGGCCAAAGGGGGCACTCTTTGAGGGCACTCTCGCCTTGGGCACCAAATAACCTAGAGCCGGCCCTGATGTGTACTCATAACCAGTGTAATTTCTTCATTATGTCAGCCGCGACGTCGCAGAAATTGGAACCGTTTCTAAATTAGAAACTTTGCGTGTCGCCGTCGCGTCTGGTTAGGACAAAAACTCTGATTAACATCAGAGTTAATCAGAGTTTTTACGCGATAAAAGGAAAAGATACCTTTTATCGCGTGTCGCGGCGTCGCGTCGCGTGTAGTTAGGACACGTTGTTATAGCCAAAGCTACGAGGCAAGAATGGGAGTAGTAATATGTTCATATTTTTGTGTCCGGTCAAGAGTCTAGCGGCGGCATTCTGCACTAGCTTCAGCCGAGTTAGAATTTACTTATCAATACCCTGGTAGAGCAACGTTGCAGTAGTCCAAGCGGGAATGAAAAAAGCTAGACTGGACAACAGCATTAATTTGTTTATCCGTTTGAAGCTCATTATCAAATAGGATGCCCAAGTTTTTAAGACACAATCACATATTTGGTTCCAACTGTTTAAGTTTCAGACACTGGCACAAATAATGATTTCCATCTTGGATTAAATGAGATGAAGAAAATTTGAAGACATCCACTTTGGAGACAGTGTCTAAGGCCTTTGCATGACTACGTAGGGTCCAATTTATTTTTCTACAAAATTATGATTTTATATTATGGTTTTTCCCAAAATAGACAATTTGGATTAGCTTGTTTCCAGCATACATGTGAACATGCATCCCAGAATTGAGAATGTCCAGACTCCAGAGTATGCAGAGTTGAACCCAGATGGATGGCGACTTCAAAGAACATCAAATAGAAGATTTGGTGCTATTTTATGATTTCATTTTATTCTAATCTCTGATAAAATAGTAGACAGAATAAGTAATCGAGTCCAAACCTTTGACTGGTACTGTAGTAAAAAAAACACACAAAGCTGTTGAACAGTCACCAGGAGGCACTGTTCCAAACCGCCACTCTCACAGGGCAGATCTTAAGTGGCCCTGGATTGTTCCCATTTATATTTGCCCCCGGACAAAAAAAAGGGAACATCCTCTCAGTAAAGTGGTCATTGAATGTGTAGATGGGTGTGACATCCACCGGGTCAAAGAAGCTGACCTCTCCAGCATCATAGTCGATCTTCACGCGAACCCTCTCCAGGCGTCCCTTCAGCATGAGTGGTGTGTGCGGGGTGGTCATGGCCGTGTACTTCCCATCAGAGAGAGCGATGGTCCAGAATCCTCCTTCTGGACAGCCGGAGATTTTGCCTTTCCTGGCTATGGATTCTTTAACCACACCAATAACCCAGTCATTATTTTGGCCCACGTCCACTTCCCAGGAATGGCATCCGGAGGTGAAACCCTTGGAGCCCAGTACAAAAACAAAGTGGTCGAAGCGCTCAGGGTTATCAGGCAGCTGTTTCATCACCCCCGTGTTGGACACACTTGTTAGATTCTTGCTCAGAGACAAACAGGGGTAGGCTGTGTTGGGGTCCAACGTCACTGGAGCTAAGTGGTGGAGAAAGAATTTATATTTTTAAAAAACTTAAATGTCATTCAAGCATGTGACTTAATCCGTGTGAAATACCTTCTGCAACTAGCCATTTGCATTTTTTTTTTTTGGCGTTTGTTTGGACATCCTCACAGCTCAAGCAATGGTGTGAGTTTTGGGGCGGGAATATCTGTTTGTTTGACCGATGGCAGATGGGTGCAGTGTTCTGGAAAACGTTTTGATAATACATTTTTGCAATTCCATTTGATGACGCGATGAGCAATTAAATCCATTAGTAATTACACACTTCACCTCTAAGGATGTTGAAATAAAATGGAATGAAATTCTGCTGTAAGTGCTGTAATTTAATAGATAATACATAAAATTTCTTTGTATTATACATATTTCCAAAAACTTTAGAAGATATTAATAGTCAGTTTTGGCAATGACACCAATAGAAAAGTTTTATATATTTCTATTTCAATTTATACATATTGAAATATGTTAACACACTCTGATATACAAATATATTTATATATATTTTGTTTTTAATATAATTTTCGTTTCATGTACCATATTTCCCAGAATGCTCAAATTTAGTTCAAAGTGGAGGCAAAAAAACCATGAAGCATAATTACAAGATGGAAAATATTTTTACAAGATTTTTCTCCCTTCATTTATTGAACAAACCAACTTTGAACTTTGAATTTCTTTGAACTGCTGTAATTTCCTCTTCCTGCCCTTGCTTTTCAACCTGAGAGACGTTCAATTCAGATTCGGACTCGTGAATTGAAAGGAAACCCGTTCTGAAACCCTGAATGTTTACACAAGCTCATCCAGCTCTATAATAACCGAGCACTCACTGAATTCCACCAGACTCTGCATTTTTTCCCACACTCCGAACTTCAGGGAGGACATGTGCTCCGCGACATCGATTAGAGATTTGGGGATGGTTTCTGGTTCGTGATATGTTATCTGAGCTCTGTAATGACAGATTAGTTGTGATGGATTTTATGCAAACAAAACGATCAAATCCTTTCAAATGTGCAGTGTATGATTACCTCATTTTGACATTCTTGTAGTTCTGTGGGGAAAGTGTAAATCAGTTACTTGTGCTTATGATTGATAAGATTAGTTAACAATCCAAACAAAGTAATCTACCTGTAAAAAGAGGCTGTCATCATTGGCAATCTCATTTTCAATGGCCATGACAGCCTGTGAAAAGATGAGTATATCACGAGTGATTAAGTCCGTTTTTTTCTTCATCGTCTGCTTCTTTATCTCTTCTTCTTCGGCCAGAACAGCAATCCTTGCAGCTTCCTCCTTCAAAAGAAATTTTTTAAGCTCTGCAAACTCCTCGTGAATTTGTTTCTCTGTCTGTTCCCTTTGGTTCTATGTGAACCCAACATAAGAAAGGCAATGAGTAATGGAGGTATCTGTTGATGGTTAGTATATCATATGACGTATGGAACTTTCTCAGTTGATACCTTGATGTGGACTGTTATGTCATCACATTCTTGTTTGGCCTCATAGAGGAGTTTAAGACTTTTCTTAAGTGGGATGACAATCTGCCGTATTTCCTCCTGGAGAAAAAACAATTTACATCTCACTTGGACATCTACACCTGGTATTAAGATGTGTTTTGGTCGATCAGTTCACAAGTAGACAAGGAAAACACATTCTTATTTACAACTGTTGTTTAAATCTGTATCTTTTATAAATGTATGGTTTTTACAGATCTTATGAAAATGAACGCGACAGGAGATGATTGAAAAACACACGGAGAGCTTTCGTTTCTTCTCTGATAGAGACAATGCCGAATGCGGTGAGTGTGTGTTAGAAATCAGGAATGGTGAGAGAACATTGTGCTTGGTACATTTTTTTGTCTTGGTACATTTTTTAACTGCACTTAATCCCATCTGGCTAGTGGTAATCATGTACTGTTTACTCATTAGGTCAGTTTAGGCAGAGAGGAGGTGGTCTTTTGTGGCTGTTTGAATGCATTCGACCACATGAGCGTTTACACTATGAAAGCAATCTGGTCCAATGCGTTTTCAACTACCTTTGGAAGTGGTCGAAAGTGGGCAAGCTTGAAACGTTTTAGACTCCGTTTACACTTGTGTTTAGCGTCGTCCACTTGTTATCCGATCGACCAAAACACATTCTTATACCAGGTGTAAACGGGGACTGGGACAGTTTTTTTCAACAAGTTGCACCATTTATGTAATGTATGATATAAGTTAAATTGCATTGATGCATCCTGATAGTATTTTTTGTGCTTGCTTTAATGTGTGCAAAAATAAAATGAGAATTGAGAATAAAGACAATTATGTAAGTAAAATAATGGCAAACTTTTTTGAAACAAAAAAGCTTGTTGAATTGCACTAAAAAATGCATTGCATCAACCATGCTTGCATTTTAATCCATTGTATTTTCAGGGCTGCATTTTTATGTGCTGAAATTCAACATGGCCGTATATTTAAGCTGTTTTTTTTTTAATTCAAAACATTTTGAATTCATTATTGAAAAATTCAGACTGATCTCATGAAGTAGCCTGTGTATGACACGCCAATTCGTATTTCCATTTTTGGCGTGCTATCAAGACACATGATCGCCTTTCAGCGTGTTTATGAACGCCGTTGACTTAACGTTATATAAATATATGACTTACCTCAACCCCGTCCCTAAACCTAACCGTCACTGGGGTTAATGGCATTTATGACTGTTCCCTTACCATCCTAGGAAAAAAAAAGATATGACTTACCTCAACCCCATCCCTAAACTTAACCGTCACTGGGGTTAATGGCATTTATGATTGGAGATTTGACGTCGTGTACAGACACGCGGAATGACGCGGATGTTAATGGCGTAGACATACACGCAAACACGATACACGCGGATAGCTCAAAATGCGTAGAGATAACACGCCACTTGACTCGAAAGTGGTGTGTATGCAAAAGTCATGATGTCATGTTGAAAACTTCGATAATCCATAATCACCTTTCCGATTTCACTTCCAACATTTTAATTCTGTTTCTATCTATTCAACAGGTAATTTTCGGTCAAATTTATTTTGCTTTACAAATTCAGTGGTTCAAATTCAAAAGAGAATTTAGCTTTTCAGTTTTCACATCCGTGAACTGCAGGAAAAGCAATGGATTGCAGATTCATAATAAACAGCAGATGGAGATTATACATCTGTAATCTACTGCTATTCCTGCAGTTCCCGGCTGTGAAATGTTGAATTTTCTGTCAAATTTGAACCTGAATTTGTGGAAGTGAATTGGTAAAGTGAAATAAAATGGACTGAATGACTGTCGAATATTAAAGGTTCTAGCCTATGTTTAGACCGAATGAATGATTTGGAAGTGAAATATGAAGTAGCTCTGTCTTCGCAAGATTTAATTGAGGAAGGACCCCGGTGATCCCGGCCAACCCAACACTTCATCACAACTTCTCCATTAAGCTAGGCTTGTTGTCCATAACTCCATCAAGGTCAGCCAGGAACCTTGGGGTTGTAATTGATGATCAGTTGAACTTCACAGACCACATTGCTAGAACTGCCCGGTCCTGCACAACACTAGGAGGATCAGACCCTTCCTTACAGAGCATGCTACACAAATCCTTGTCCAAGCACTTGTTTAATCCAGACTGGATCATTGTAATGCTCTCCTGGCTGGTCTTCCAGCTTGCTCTGTCAAACCTCTACAACTGATCCAGAATGCTGCAGCTAGAGGTCTTTAATGAGCTGAAGAGAGCACACGTCACTCCTCCTCTCACAAAATGCACTGGTTGCCAGTTGCCGCTCGCATTAAATTCAAGTCACTGACGTTCACCTACAGAACAACCACTGGCACTGCTCCCTCTTACCTAAATCACTACTTCAGACTTATGTGCCATCCAGAAACTTGCGCTCTGCCATCAAATGCCATCTTGTGGTACCATCTCAAAGAGGCACAAAATCTCTATCTCGGACCTTTACCATGACTGTTCCCTGTTGGTGTAATGATCTGCCAAACTCAACCAGAGCTACTGAGTCAGTAGCCACTTTCAAGAAACTGCCAAAGACGTATCTTTTTCGGCAGCACTTGATTCAGTAGTACCAACACTTTCTCTTCTCTTCTATTTTTTTTTTTTTTAAAAACACTAAAATTAACCTGAGAGGGGTCATAGCACTTACATATTGTTGTTCTACTGTTAGTTTAACTGCTTCTATTGTTCTCATTTGAAAGTCGCTTTGGATAAAAGCGTCTGCTAAATGTAAATGAAAGGTGAATATGGATTAGGGAATGTGCAGACTGATCTCATGAAGTAGCGTGTGTATGCCACGCCAATTCGTATTTCCATTTTTGGCGTGCTATCAAGACGCATAATCGCCTTTCAGCGTGTTTATGAACGCCGTTGACTTAACGTTATATAAATATATGACTTACCTCAACCCCGTCCCTAAACCTAACCGTCACTGGGGTTAATGGCATTTATGACTGTTCCCTTTACCATCCTAGGTAAAAAAAAGATATGACTTACCTCAACCCCATCCCTAAACTTAACCGTCACTGGGGTTAATGGCATTTATGACTGTTCCCTTACCATCCTAGGTAAAAAAAAGATATGACTTACCTCAACCCCATCCCTAAACTTAACCGTCACTGGGGTTAATGGCATTTATGACTGGAGATTTGACTGCGTGTACAGACACGCGGAATGACGCGGACGTTAATGGCGTAGACATACACGCATACACGCGGATAGCTCAAAATGCGTAGAGATAACACGCCACCTGACTCGAAAGTGGTGTGTATGTTTATGCAAAAGTCATGTTGGAATGTGTGAATGTTATGAATTGAAATATTCACAGCTTAAATATACAGCAATGTCGAATTTCAGCCCATAAGAATGCAAGCCCTAAAAATAGAGTTAATGCACTGCATTTTTCTTTTCAGTTACTGCAATTCAACAAGATTTTTTTTTGTTTCAAAAACATTTGGCATTCATTTTTTTTTTCCATAGACAATCACTAAAAATAAAAAATAAATAAATCTAAATTTAAATAAATAAATAAATAAAACATCTGAATGCGTTATGGTAATGAGAATATGGATGGTAAATACAATAGACAATGCCACAATGCAAAAAATAAAACAACTGCATAAAAAAGCTAAGTAATATTCTTAGAAATATTATGACCTTGAGATCGTTTGCTGCCTCTTCCAAAGGACACACACTGTGGCCTTGATGTTTCTTGGACGTTTGACAAACACAGCAGAGAACCTCTTCATCCTGTTGGCAGAACAATTTGAGTCCCTCCCCGTGAATGGCACAAAGAGCCTCCGATTTGGACGTCCCGTTGGCAGCATTTGATCCGGCTCTCGCAGACGCTTGTCCTTTCTGCTCCTGTATGATGGCGTCGCACACGTTCTTCAGAGCCAGGCTCACGGTGGGCTCCGTCAGAGAGCTCTTCCTCCTGCACACGGGACATTCCCTCTTGGCCGCTTTCCTGTTCCAGAACTGACGAAGGCAGAGCCGGCAGAAACTGTGGCTGCACTTCAGGACCACGGGATCGGTGAAGATCTCGCAGCAGACCGGACAAGAGAGCTCATCCTCTAAAGGCGACTTCGAGTGAGACGATGAAGCTCTCGGGCGCAGAACCGGGATGTTTTTAAGAGATGGAAGGGTGTTTGCTCTTCCAGGTTGAGAGGAAGCCCTTGGTCTCAAGGGCATGGCTGTCTGGTGTTGCTGGAGTGAAGTCCAGTCGCTTTTGATGCGGAAACCCTGATGAGCTCAAGCTGTACCTGCAGTGTTTGTTGCCAGTCCCTCAGCTAGGTCACAATACTCCCACAAACACACACACGTCCCAAGAACAAGCCCGCCCTTTGGCAATAATTACCTTTTATAATGCCGTGAATATCCATAACTTAAATTACCATCACAAAATTCTCAGAAATCAAGTCTTTGACCACACCTCGTCCACTTGAACATTTCTTTTTTTTTTTACGGTCGTGTAATATTTGGTCTTTGTACATAACTGGATCAACTGGTGCTAGAGGGGAAAACAAGCTTTGCCATTGATCCGTGAAATGTTTGGTGTAAGCATTATTGTTTTGGGAACTCAAAGGCGGTGTGTGTGAGAGGTTGGAGGAGAGCAAACACTTTCCAAACGCTGCAGGGACATTTACGCAAAGTTTCTTGTTGCCACAGGAGTTTCTCTCATGGGGGTTATTCACCCCAAAAATTAAATTTCGGTCCTTAATTACTCGCCCTCATGTCCTTCCAAACCCATAGGACTGTCATTCATCTTCAAAACACAAAGATCTTTTTGATTAAAGAAGAACCAATGAGGTTCGTTCTTGTGTTATGCATCACATTTGAGCTTCGGCAAGAAGCAATGAGGTTCACTATCGCGTTACGCATCACATTTGAGGTTCGGATAGAACCAATGAGGTTCACTATCGCGTTACGCATCACATTTGAGCTTCGGCAAGAACCAATGAGGTTCACTATCGCGTTACGCATCACATTTGAGGTTTCGTCGAGAACCAATGAGGTTCACTATCGCATTACGCATCACATTTGAGCTTTGGCAAGAACCAATGAGGTTCACTATCTCGTTACGCATCACATTTGAGTTTCGGCAAGAACCAATGAGGTTCATTATCGCGTTACGCATCACATTTGAGCTTCTGCGAGAACCAATGAGGTTCATTATAACGTTACACATCACATTTGAGCTTAGGCAAGAACCAATGAGGTTCATTATAGTGTTATGCATCAGGTTTGCAAGAGGTTTGTTCTCACACATCAAGCAGGTTCTGTTGAGCTTTAGTTTATGTTTGCTGATCAATAGGGTTGGGTATCGTTTGAATTTGAACGATTCTGATTCCGATTCTTTGTTTCGATTCCGGTTCCTAACGATTCTCGATTCCGATTCTTTTAAGAGGCAGGGTCAAAAAAGTTTAGCTAACCTTGCTAACCAACGGCGTTTCTGAAGGAAATAATCCTTTCTGAAGGAAATACTCCTTCTGTAAAAATACTCCTTTTGTCACAAATTTAGCATTTTGCTGAGATTTCGTTATTTTTAGAAAAGTGAAGCCACACTTTGGATCGCCGACGTAAGGTACTCATGTTCAACTCGCGTGGTTGTGCCAACACTTCCGGTAGACACTTCTTCGTTGGTGTTGTTCAGCGGGTTCTTCTTCCGCTCGGCGGACTGTGAATATCGAAACTAGGAATCGAACTTTTGAACGATTCCGGGAAAAACGAAAAGTTAGTCTCGGTTTCAATCGATACTCGATTCTCGATACCCAACCCTACTGATCAATGTTTAAATGTGAATAAAAACCTAAATTCAATGTTTTCATCATAAGCAATAATGTCTCTTCAGAAAATTTGGACTAAGCGATTCCCAAACTGTGGTCCGCGGACCACTAGTGGTCCCTGAGGGTACTGCAGGTGGTCTGTGAAAAGGCAAAATAAAATCTAAAATATTTTACCAAGAAATTTCCATTAAAAAAAGTTTAAAAAATATATGTAGGCCTATATTTATATAAAATGTAAATTAAATTGTCAAGCTATTGTGTGATTACTAAAATGTGGCGCTAGTGGCGCTCGGCCGTGACGTTCAAGCTCCTTGTCGTCAGAACCACAACACCGTATCGGTGGATAGCAACAGGTTAGGTGAGCATTTATTTAGTTATTTGTTTTTAATATAGGTCTATATTAGACAGACGATACAAAGAGGAAGGGAAAGATGTGGAGGGTGACAAAGGAGGATATTACGTTCATATCGGGCTGGCAAATAGACTCCAATGGCTTTTATTGACAACTTTATTTTTAAGCTGGAATAACGTTAGGCCTACTGTGTTTTCTTTAAATGTGTAATGTTATAGGGCAGAACCAAATATGTTCTCATTATCAAATCACATGCATAGCTGTTATAGGCAGTTTAGGCCTTTTCTAAAACGAAATGTTTATAAATGGAATGAATAAGGCCTGTTATTATTTTAATTTCCAGTTAACGTTAGTTTACAAAGTGAAATGTTTTGCGGATGTGCTGTTAAGTGGACAAACTCAAGCCTACTTTTTGAGGACTTGTAGACTTGTTATTACTGTATAGATTTGATACTCCATTGCTATGGAAATAAGCCTGTTGTTCAAATGAACCTAAATATATTATGTAATATAATATGTAATATCATAATATGTGTATTGTATGAGGTGGTCCGTGAAAATTCTTGATTACGAATAGTGGTCCACACACACAAAAAGTTTGAAAACCCCTGGACTAAACCACTCAATTAATTTGGATTTGTTTTACAATCTCTGTTTGAAGTGTCAGTTGCGTAGCTGTCTATGGAGGGACAGAAAGCGATCTCTATTTGCGTATCGAAGATGAACGGCATTACAAGTCTTACACGCCAGAACGACATGTCGGGTGAGTAGTTAATGACAATTTTCATTTTTGAATGAACTATCCCTTTAATAAGTCTTGAATTATATTTTCAGTGCAGGTCACTCATTCCCCTATACAGCCACATTAGTAATGCAAACGTAAAGAATGTAAATATGCCCTTGGAGAGGTTGTTTAGCCAAGGAGAACTAACCCAATGTTTCAATGAACAACTGTTAGAAACAAAAACACCGCCTGCTTTCCAGAACACAAAAACAAAAATCACACAAATTGTTTTGTTTATTTTAATACTGTTGAGAAATCAGTAACAAATAACAATTTGGTGCAATAGCATTTCTGACAATGGAGAAAAATGTAGCATAAGACTTATATGATTATTGCCATTTGAATGTAGTCTGAGTGTCACGAGACATGAATCCACCAGAACCATTACATCATCAGTGTAAACTATTCATTCTTAAAAACAACATATATCTAAATATGTTAAAAATCCATTAAATGAAAAAAAGTGTCCAAAGTAAATCAACCACAAGAGCGCTGTTTTCAAGCTACACTGATAGCTTTACAGAATGTAAAAAGTAACACCTAAACATGTAACAGTTTTTTTTTTTTTACTTCCTTTTTTACATTTTTGCTCTGGTCCTTTACCTTTACACATTAACTTATGTCCTCCATAAGAAATAGCGCCTGACTAAATAATAATGAAGAAGAAGAAATATACAGTGTGGAGTTTTAACCATCACAGGATCAGTACTTTACATTTAAAACATGCTCTGAAGTTACAAATGTGGACATACTACAGTGTTGAACAGCCTGGTTAAGAGTAAAAATAATCTCTGAGTTCAACTAACTTAATAAATGTGCTTAGTGTACAATGTCTGTGTTTGGTCATATTTGCAGTACTGTTGTCAGTATCTTGGAAATGCTACTGTAGTGTAATTTCTGTAAACACATCAACACAATATACACTCAAATCAATGCCATCCACAGCCTCTACCTTCCAACCAGTGCTTTAATATTCACTTTTAAATAGGGCTGGGCGATATACATCATATTCACAATATACTCGCACACTAGTTGTGCTGGCAGTATGACACTAAGCATACCATACAGAGTCAGTGAGTCACAAAAGGTTGGCGTTCACTTGCAAAACTTGAAGGAAACTAAATGAGATTTTGCTTTCTCTTCACAAAGTATTGCGTTCCCCTGAGAAACGTTGCGTTTGCTCGCAAAAGTTAGTATATTTTAGAAATAGTATAGAATAGAAATATAGTTTTTCCCTCCCAACCCAGAAAAAAAGTTTCTCAGGAGAAACTCAAATGCTTTGTAAGTGAAAACAAAAGCAATGCGAATGAACGCAAAAGAATTGAAATATAATTTTTCATCCCATCCAATTTTTTTTTTCTTCAGTAGATTCAAAACTCTCAACAATTCAACAATTAATTTGCATTATCAATAAAAAAATCACTAACATCCTCGTGGCATAAAAAATATATGTAGGTAAATATAGTTGTTTATTACTATATACTGGTTATATTTGTGCATAAAGATGAAAATGATTAAATATCAATCTTCATTGATTTGTATTTTACTTTATGCTTGAAATGTTTTGAATCTGTTTGGCTGGAACGACGGTTGGTTTGAAATTAGTCATATCGCCCAGCCCAACTTGTAATCCCTTCCATATTCCTCTATCAATCCTGAAAAAGGATAACTACTATCCATAATACTTACTAATAATACTGATTTTACTGAGAGAGAAAAAAGAAAAAAAGTCCTTGTGTTTGGCAATAGGTGGTAGCTGACCACATTACTAACATAAAAAAAATAAAAAAATCAAAGTTTTATTTCTTTCCCATTTCTCTTTTAAAATAAGAGCTAAGCCACAGAACTGGAAATGTAAAGCACTAGAGGCCATTTAGAAATAGTTCATTGCCACAACTTCTAAACCACTTGAAATCCTTAATATAAGAGAGGACAAGAGTACATAACAAGACAGCACATGCGTTAGGGAATCATTATAGTGTTGATAAGACAAATGGTCTGTAATACTGCCACGGGACAGGGCAGATCCACACCAGTGCAGACCAGCATTGCCTCGATCTCTGCACCGTGTGGTCTGTGACCCGTGCCATAGCGTGCAATTTATACAGCGTCGGGACACAGTGCAAGTGAAAGTCACAGTATGTAACAGAGAAACCTCTCAGGGATACGAGACATGGTCCCTGGAGCGAACACTTTGCAAATTCAATGAGTCTCTTTTGCTTGATATCCTACTAAATAAGACATTTCACGTAAGTGATTAGGCTCAGCCTGAATACAAGTTTAAATCTTTTAAAAATGCATTCAACATAGTATCTTGATAACATCTGTTAGAGGCCTACATACAAGTGTTTCCAGCATCCCAGCGTATGCTCCCAAAAAGAACAAAAATAAAATCCCATAGTGTTCCTAAAGCAGAATTGCCATTTTA